TGGGGGTTTTTTGGGGACATTTTGGGGTTTTTTTGGGGACATTTTGGGGTTTTTTGGGGTTTTTTGGTGACATTTTGGCGTTTTTGGGGACATTTTGGGGTTTTTTGGGGACTTTTGGGGTTTTTTGGGGACATTTTGGGGTTTTTTGGGGACTTTTTTGGGGACTTTTGGGGTTTTTTGGGGACTTTTGGGTTTTTTGGGGACTTTTTGGGTTTTTTGGGGACATTTTGGGATTTTTTTGGGGACATTTTGGGGTTTTTTGGGGACTTTTGGAGTTTTTTGGGGACATTTTTGGGCTTTTTTGGGGATTTTTTGGGGACATTTGGGATTTTTTGGGGACATTTTTGGCGTTTTTGGGGACATTTTGGGTTTTTTGGGGACTTTTGGGGTTTTTGGGGGACATTTTGGGGACTTTTGGGGGTTTTTTGGGGACATTTTGGCATTTTTTGGGGGACTTTTGGAGTTTTTTGGGGACTTTTGGAGTTTTTTGGGGACATTTTTGGGCTTTTTTGGGGATTTTTTGGGGACATTTGGGATTTTTTGGGGACATTTTTGGCGTTTTTGGGGACATTTTGGGTTTTTTTGGGGGTTTTGGGGACATTTTGGGGTTTTTGGGGACTTTTGGGGTTTTTGGGGGACATTTTGGGGACTTTTGGGGGTTTTTTGGGGACATTTTGGCATTTTTTGGGGGACTTTTGGAGTTTTTTGGGGACTTTTGGAGTTTTTTGGGGACTTTTGGGGTTTTTTGGGGACATTTTGGGTTTTTTTGGGGACTTTTGGGGGACATTTTGGAGTTTTTTGGGGACATTTTGGGGTTTTTTGGGGACATTTTGGGATTTTTTTGGGGACATTTTGGGGTTTTTTGGGGACTTTTGGAGTTTTTTGGGGACTTTTGGGGTTTTTTGGGGACTTTTTGGGTTTTTTGGGGACATTTTGGGATTTTTTGGGGACATTTTTGGCGTTTTTGGGGCTCCCGGGAGGCGGGGTCACCAAAAGGGGGCGTGGCCAGCGGGGTTTATGCAAATGAGCTTATCGGGGAGGGCGCGTCTATGCAAACGAACCCAATAAAGCGTGATGAAGCCTTTAATTATGCAAATTAAGCCTTTCTTTTTAATCGGGGGGCGTTTAATTATGCAAATTTAAAGCGCGTTTATGCAAACGAAGAGCGCGGCGAACGCGGCAGCGCGACGACATGCAAATTAGATATATGCAAATGAGATTTATGCAAATGAACAGCCGCATAAGGTGGGGCGTGGCCTGATGTCCATATTAGGAGCGAGCTCCGCGCCGGCCAATCAGCGCGCGGGATGCAAATGAGGGCGCGGCGGCGGTCGCCGGGGGTGTGACGCCACTTCCGTCGCGCTGTCGGTGACGTCACGAGGCGATGGCGGCCCCGCGGGTGTCGCTGGGGCCGCTGAAGGAGCCGCTGGGCCTGAACCGGGCCCTGCAGTGGGTGCGGAACTGGGACAAACTGGGATGGACTGGGAGGGGATTGAGGGGGACTGGGAGCGAACTGGGAGGAACTGGGAGGGGAATTGGGATAAACTGGGACAAACTGGGAGGGACTGGGACAAACTGGGAAGGACTGGGAGGGACCAAAAATGGGCTCAAAACGGCGAAAAAGGCCCCAAAAATCCCAAATTTCCCCCACCCCGAATTCCCGGTTTTTTCCCCAAATTCCTCTTTTTTCCCCCCAAATTCCCATTTTTTCCCTCCAAAAATTCCCATTTTTCTCCCTAAATTCCTGTTGTTTTTCCCCAAATTCCTCCAAATTCCTTTTATTCTCCCCAAATTCCCATTTTTTTATCCCCAAATTCCCATTTTTTCTTCCCAAATTCCCATTTTTTTCCCCCCAAATCCCTTTTTTTCTCTCCAAATTCCCCCAATTCCCCATTTCTTTCCCCAAATTCCCATTTTTCTCCCTAAATTCTCATTGTTCTTCCCCAAATTCTCATTTTTTCCCCAAACTCCCCCAAATTCCTCTTTTATCCCCAAATCCCCATTTTTTTTCCCCAAATTCCCTTTTTTCCTCCCCAAATTCCCCCGAATCCTCATTTTTTTTCTTAAATTCCCATTTTTTTCCCCAAATTCCCATTTTTTTTCCCCAAATTCCTGTTTTTCCCTTCAAATTCCTGGTTTTTTTCCCCAAAATTCCTCAAATTCCCATTGTTTCTTCCCCAAACTCCCATTTTTTTCCCCCAAATTCCCTTTTTTTTCCAA